GCCGTCTTGGACTCGCTAATGTGTCACGGGCCCCATCGTCCAGGTCGAGGGGAAGAGGTTACGGGGGGAGGAGAAAATAGGGAACCGAACTCTATGCACTAACGCCTGTGTCTGGCCTCACACTGAATCTAGCACAGAAAAGCGGATCCTGGTGTATACGGGATCCTGGTGTATACATTCTTCGCTGCTTCCCCAGGAAAGCGGGGAACAAAGTATACACCACACCACCCCGACGTCGTCCCCGACCCATAAAAAAGTTCTGGGATTGAAAAACGCCCGCCACTGGTGGGTGATGTATATGCTCCAATTTCCGAGCAAAGCCCTCCCCGAAACGTGGAGTTGGAAGAGGAAACGCGTTTGGAATATCATGTGGGACCTGCCCTAGAGCAGGAGCATACCGAGGGCGGATCTACCCGTTGTCCGACCTTGAACTGCGCCGGACGCAGTGGCCGCGTTGCCTATGGACGTGTGCACCCCGCATATGTCTTTGTACGTTACGACACCCAGTGTGCCCGCAAGCGCTTGTGGCGTGAACGTGGGAGCGAACTTTGGCAGAGGCCTCGGATTCAGGTCTTCTAGAAGCATGTAGGCTTGGCCATTCAAATTATCCCCTCCCTCCTCGGCGCCCCCGACAACCCAGACATCCAGCCGCTCCAATTTGTTTCAATGCGTGGGCCGCGGAGGTTTGACTCACTTCCCTGGGGCCAGTCCTTCGCCGCGAGCGGCTCTTTGACGGCCCCGAGGCCCAGCGAGGGCCCCCCGGAGGCCGAAGACGGCCCCGAGCCTGCCGCCCCAATGCTTCTGGAGCGTCGGATCTCTGGGGAGGGCTCCAAGAGGGCCCAAAGAGGGGCCCCAAGACCCCCCAAAACAGCGCCAAGAGGACCCCAAGGTCCCCCACACGAGTCCCAAGAGGGCTCTGTCCACGCCCTCGTTCTCCTCCTCCCCCTCCTCCTCCTCCTCCTCCTCCTCCTCTTCCTCCCCCTCCTCTTCCTCTTTCTCTCCCCTCCTCCTCTTCCTACCCTCCTCCTCCTCCTCCTCCTCCCTCCTCCTCTCACCCTCCTCATCATCCTACTGCTCCTCCTCCTCCTCCTCCTCCTCCTCCTCCTCCCTCGTACGCCTCCTCCTCGTCCCTCCTCCTCTCCTCCTCCTCCTTCCTCCCCCTCTCCTCACTCCTCATCCTCCTTCCCGAGCCCCCGCCGGCGGGGCCCAGGGACGACTTCGGGCTGCCCCCCCACCCGCGCCTGCGACCTACGGCCGCGGCGGCCGCGGGCCCTCCGAGGGCAAGGGCGCGGCGGCGGGCCGCAGCGGAGGAGCCCTTGACGGGGGGGGGTCCGGTTGCGACAGAGGCGGAGAGCCTCTATCGAGCGCCCTCCAAAGGCCAGTTCCTATCGAGACGCTCTTTTGTCTCGCCGTTCCGCCCCGTTGTGGCAGCAGTCAGAGAGTACAACTTTGTTTGAAGACGAGCAATCAGGACTCCATGAGCTTCCGATCCGATCCGATCCTCCTACCACTGGTGGCGGTGGTGGAAAATCGGCTCATCATCTCCGGGTCCAAACTCTCCCCCGACAGGGAGTCGGCTGCACGCAAGAGCGACCCCGGGCAAGAGGGGCCTCTGGCGCGCGGCTTGCAAGGGGCCCCCCATCCAGGCGCGCGGACCGGTGCAGGGGCCACTCCTGCGAGCCCGCACCAAAGGTCACCCCGGCGAAAGGTCACTCCTGCGCGTAGCCATGGGGAGAAGGCGCGCTCCGCTCTTTCGCTCCTCGCCGGGTCAGCGCGAGCAGGGCCGCCGTGGCTTTCGCGGAGGCCCGCCGGGCCGCGAGGGGTCACCACGCAAGGGGGGGCCAGCGCCCCAGTGGCGACGGCCGGGCATGGGGAAAGGCTGCTGCGAGGAAGGAGGGAGAGCTGAGGGAGCAGGGGGAGGGAGGAACAAGAGGAGGAGGAGGAGGAGGAGGAGGAGGAGGAGGAGGAGAGAAGGAGAGGAGGGGAGGAGGAGGAGGAGGAGAAGGGAGGAGGAGGAGGCGGAGGAGGAGAGGGGAGGAGGAGGAAAGACTGAGGAGGAGGAGGAGGGAGAGGAGAGAGGAGGAGGAGTGAGGAGGAGGAGGAGGCGGAGGAGGAGGAGGAGTGAGGATTAGAAGGAGGAGGAGAAAGAGGAGGAGGAGAAGGATGAGGAGGAGGAGGAGGCGGAGGAGGAAAGGAGACTGAGGAGGAGGAGGGAACAGGAGGAGAGGAGGTTAGAAGGAGGAGGAGAAAGACGGAGGAGGAATGATGATGATGATGATGATGATGATGATGATGATGATGATGATGAGGAGGAGGAGGAGGAGGAGGAGGAGGAGGATGAGGAGGAGGAGGAGGAGGAATGAGGAGATGAGGATGAGGATGGAGGATGAGGATGGGATTATGATGATGATGATGATGATGATGATGATGATGATGATGATGATGATGATGATGATGATGATGATGATGATGATGATGATGATGATGATGATGATGATGATGATGATGATGGGATCATAATCGTAGAGCATGGGTGTTGATGTGGGACTTGACAGTTTGAGGGGGGGTCGTGGAATTGTTGTTTTACTGGAGCCTCGGGGCCCTGAGGGTCTTGCGGTTGTGGGCCAAGTCTCCCGGCCTTGTGCCCCGGGTCCCGCAAAACGGGAGGGCTCGGTGGCTTGCGGCCGCTTGCCCCCGAATGATGTGCCCTCGCGTGTGCCGCACGGCCTGCTCCGCAACCGTTTCATTGCTCCAATCTGCTCCAGATTTTCGCGGGGAGAGGGCGGACGGCCCACCCCGCTCGAGGGCGCGCGATGGCGCCCTGAGGGAGCCCGTGGCTCCACCCGTGGAACGAAGTCGAGTGCGAGACCGCGGCAGGGCTGCCCAGGACGCAGCTGGCCGCGGGCGGTGTGGGCCGTTCGCTGGACGTGGTGCGCGTGGCGCACTGGCTGGCGAGGCGCTGGTGATGGTAGTGCCAGTCTCAGCGGCAGCGAGGCAAGCAGGCTCCGAGGCGTTGAGAGGTGCTGGCGCCGACGTGTCCGAGGAGGACGTCACGCCGCCTGGCCGCGGACTGCCCCGAGCTCCCTGGCCCCGAGATGGCCAGTGCTTTGTGGAGCTTCGCGGAGGCCGCCACCTTCGGGACTCCGGCAGAGGATCGGATACGACGAGTGGGCGCCGACGAAGCTGGCTGGGAGCGAGTGGCTGACAGGATCTGGGCCCACGCGACGGGGGAGGACTACGACGGGCAGCCCCTGGACTGGGTGCTGCACATCGGTGTCGGGCTCCTCGTGGCGTGCGGGCTGGTCGCACTGGTGGCAGAGTCAGGTCGGCACCGAGTCGCGGGCGCCGCTGGGGCGCCGTGTGGCAGCCTCGTGCTGTGGCGCCGCCTGCCCGTGCGTGTGAGCGCCTGGTGGGCCCGCTGGAGCCGCCGCTCGGCGTTCGCCGCGGCCCTCCGTAGTGGCGGGGACGGGCTGCCCGCTCTGGGGGCTGAGGACGCCGACGGCGCGGCCGTGGCAGGCGGTGCCCCGCGGTGGCTGCGGGGAGCAACGAGGCGGCCGCGGAGCCGCGGCCAGGGCCGCAGGCGCCGCCGCCTGGCCTCCCCGCGCTCCCCAGCCCGCCCTGGGCCCCACCAGCCGAGAGCGCTGGGGTCTGGACGGCGCCCGAGAAGCCTGGAGCGCAGGACGTGGCGGCTCTGCGGGCCTTCGGCAAGGGGGAGGAGGTGACTGGGCCTTTCAGCCAGACGGCTGCCCAGCAGCTTGGCGGGGGGAGCGCTGCCGTGCCAGGTGGGCCCCCCGCCCTCCGTGCTCATGTCCCTCACTCCCCTGCCGATGCTGTGAAGCTGGGCCAGGAGGCGCAGATGGTGCGAGCCACACTCACCGAGTTCCAGGCCCAGGCGGCGACGAACGTGTACTGGGCGTGGCACTTCTGGGAGCGCATAGCAGCCGTGGACTCCTCCAGAGGCCTCCACCCCGACCTGCGACGCCTGCTGCAGACGCACGGCTACGTGGGGGCGGGCACCAAGTCCCCCACAGGGGGGAGCTTGCCGCAGGAGCTGGAGGCGCTGGTGGCCACGGCCGCGGCGCCGCACGGAGGAGGCATGCAGGCCGCCCCGGGCTGGAGCTGGACGCCATCAGTGCAACAGCAGCAGGAAGACAGTCGGTGGAACCTCAGCCGCCCGCCGGACTTGAAGCGGGCAGCGCCAGAGATCTACCGCTCCATGCGCGGGGCGGGTGCTGCGAGCGCTAGGGACTGGCTGTCGCAGGAGGTCACAGGCCAACAGCACACGGCCGTCTGGACGGACCTGTGGACGGCGGCCACCAACGTGGGCTACCTGCTGGGAGGCTGCAGGACGCAGTCCGAGGTGCTGACGCGGCTCGCGTCGGACGATGCGCTCGAGCTGCACCTGCGCCGCCTGGCGAGCTACGTCTACGAGCTGAGGACGAAGGACAAGGTGGGAGCGGCGGCCATGCTGGCGGTGCGGCCGCCGGGGTCCGCCACGGACCTGGCGCCCACCTGGCTGGTGACCGAGGCCACCGCCCACAGCAAGGCGGAGCACCAGCGAGACGAGCGCGTCGCCGTCGCAGGCAAGCGCGAGGGCCGAGGCAACGGCCGCGGTTCCAGCTTGTGCGGCGGCTCGGGCGGCGGCGGTGATGCAGCAGGAGGCGGCAGAGGCAGAGGAGGAGAAGGCGGCGGCCGTGGCCGTGGTCGAGGGGGCAAGCCCTCTGGCCGCGGCAACCCCCCGCGGTCCGTGTCGGTGCCCCGCAACAGCGGGTGCAGCCAGAGATGCCAGCGACGGGTTCACCAGGCTCGCTTGCGCGGGCCCTGCAGTGGAAGGAGGCCGCCGCCAGGTCGTTCTTCCCGGTACCTCTGCCAGCTCGACCTCTACAAGGGTGTACCTCTTCCGGCAGGTTGAGGACACGACGGGCTCGACGAATGCGCGTGTGGCGCAGAGCCTGCGGGCTCATCGAGCTCATGAACGGGATGGACTGCGGATCCCTGGAGGCGAGACCAACGGGCCAGCGAGTAGCGTGGGACGACGAGAGGATGCTGGCCTGGAAGCTCGTGCAGCAGTACGCGTTGCAGGACGCGGCGCGGTACGAGCGCGACTGCTGGGGGCTCGCCCCGACAGGCGGTCACGGGACGGAGCTCGCTCACGACAGAGGGCCGCAGGACGCCTACACTGGAGAGCGTAAGAGTGTGAGTAAGCATGTGATGATGTGCGCGTCGGCCGTGGCCGAGCCGCCGGACGACCATGTTGTCGATCTGCTGGAGGCGCTACCCGAGGGTGAGCGGCAGTACTACACGGACGAGCTGAACGTCCTCGACTACAGCGGGAAGTCGGGCGTCATCTTCGAGGAGCTGGAGGAGCGCTTTGCGTTCGTGGGGGGCTCGACGTCGGAGCACGCCCGCTACCTGATGCGGGATGACCTACCGAAGGATATGTGGACGTTCGAGAACCCCTGCGATGTGCAGGCCTACTGTGGTTTCAGCTGCGTACCGAAGAAGGACCCGACGAAGCAGCGGAAGGTCTTGATGATGTGCGCCAGCAACTACGTGTGGGCCGACCCCCACCAGCGCGGGTCCCGACCGACGTGTGGGGCGTGGCGGCCTTCGACGAGGACAACGCCTTCACGCGCCTCAGGGTGCCCGCCTGGATGGCCCGGTGGCAGGCCTGCCCGCCGCTGCGGGCCTGCTGGGTGTGGGAGAAGCTGAGCCAGCGGATCCAGGACCTGGTGGGGCCTGCTGGCTGGGTGGCACCCTGCTACCACAGGCTGGCCATGGGAGGCTCGCACTCCGTGCACCTGCTCATGACGGTGAATACGGCGATCATCGGCAGGGCGTTGCTGGGCGTGGGGGCGCGCCTGGCAGCGCTCCAGGGCGCTGCGACCCCCGCGGCCGCCGCGGCAGGCGGCGCGCCTGGGCCCTCGCCGCCCGAGAACGGGGGGCTGGAGGGCGAGGCGCTAGCGGGGGGTGCACAAGAGTGCGGGCAAGCACACCGCTACGACGACGACTGGGTCGTGCAGCAGTCGAGCTGCCGCGAGGAGCCCCCGAGCTTGGAGGGCTACAGCGTGGCCATGTGGATCGAAGCTGTGAAGGCGGCGAAGAGGGAGGACGAGCGGGTGATGGTGGTGATGCACCCCTTTGCTGGCCGTCGACGACGAGGCGACGTGCAGGAGGTTGTAGAGAGGCAGGCGCGGGAGCGCGGGATGCGCGTCCTCTTCCTCTCCGCGGACCTCCTGGACGACCCGAGGTGGGACCTGGCGAACCCCGCCACCTTCTCTGCTCTGATGGAGCTGTGCGAGGGAGGCTGGGTGGATATCGTGCTGGGTGGTCCACCGTGCTCGACCTGGTCGAGGGCGCGCTGCAATCGTCGGCAGCCAGGCCCGCCGCCCGTCCGCTCTCGGCTCTGCCCCTGGGGCTGGCCAGGCTTGAGAGCGTGGGAGGCCGAGAGGGTGGCAGAGAGTAACTCTTTGACGCTGAACCTGTTGGCGCTCTGCGAGGCGTGCGGCCAGAGCGGCGGCGCCTTCCTCATCGAGCACCCGGAGGACCCAGGGCGCGAGCCCTACCCATCCATCTGGAACACCAAGGAGATGCTAGACTTCGAGAGGCGACGCTCAGCCCAGAGAGCGTGCCTGGACCAGTGTATGCTGGGCGGGCGCACCAAGAAGCCGACTTGTCTCAGTGGCACGCTGCAGGGCATGGAGGCCCTGATCGAGTTACGATGCGACGGCTCCCACGCCCACGAGTCTGCCGAGGGCAAGTTGGCCGACGGGACCTTCCGCACGAGCCCCCTCGCGCAGTACCCCGAGGCGATGTGCGAGACGTTGGGAAGCATGATAGTACAGACCCTGGCCTGCTTCGAGATGAGTGGCCTGGGTGGCACGGGTTGGCGACGGCCGCCCGAGGCAGACAGGACGGTGACGGCCTGGGGCACTCGCAGCACGACCGCCCCCGCCGTGGCCGTGAGGAACGAGGACGTGCTGCGAGGACGAGGGCTCGTGCTGGATGGACCGCAGATGGCCTTCTACCTGCACGTCGACGACGGCGTGGTGATGGCGGGAGGCCAGGACGGCGGCTCACGAGCGACGAGTACGATGCACCAGCTAGCGGACGCCCTGGCGGAGGCGGGCTTCGTGGTCACCGACCGCACGGAGGCCTGCGACATGCGGAAGGTGCCGGGCTGCGCGCCGCAGGCGCGACCAGCTCCACTTCGGCAGCCGCCGGCGAGGGCCCGAGAGCTGGCGCAACAGCTTGAGCTGATGAGTGGCGCGCGCACCGTGGACACGGAGGAGCTGCGCTCGCTCCTGGGAGCTTGGATCTGGGGGGCGCTGCTTCGACGGGAGGTGCTGTGCATCCCCGGTGCGGTCTTCCGCCTGCTGGAGAGATACACCCTGCGAAATGCTTAAGAAATCATGGGTTAAGAAATTCATAGTCTCAGATCTTGAATAAAAACCCAACATTTCTATTACAAACTTAGGATTTAGATTGAAACGTTAAGAATAATCGAGACTCTGGCCGAAAACTTGGGTTTTCTTAAGCATCGCCTAAGGTGTACCCGCGACAACGGGTGGGCACCTGGGCGACAGTTCGCAGGGAGCTGCGGGCCACGGCCAAGGTGGTGCCACCATGTGTGCGGACCCGGGGGCCCCACCCGCGCCCGTCTACTTCGCTGCGGATGCCATGGGCGCGAGCGCCGAGGACGACGGGGGCTGGGGGGTCCTGGTGACCGACATGAGCAAGGAGATCGCGCAGGACCTCATCGACACGGGCGGCAGCTTGGGCCACACCGTGGCGCGGCTGGACGGCGAGCTGACTGGGCCGAGGCGCCCGGAGCAGACGATCAGGAGGACGAAGCCCTTCCGCCTCCTGCCCGACCGCGTGTTCAGGCCCGACGAGGACTGGACGATCGTGGGCCAGGGGAGGTGGCGATCCGCCGACCACATCACCCTGGGAGAGGGGCGCTGCGTCGTGAAGATCACTCGCTTGGCGGCTGCTACGCCGGCGCTCCACCGCACCGCGCTCCCGATCCTGGAGGACAGCCAGCCAGTGTCGGGCGCGGTGAACAAAGGGAGGTCCCCGGCCCACCAGTTGAACCACCTGCTGCGTCGGAAGACTGCAGCGGGGCTAGCATCACGCACAAAGATTTTGATTCCATGGGTGGAGACACTCAAGCAGCCTGCCGATAAGATATCGAGGTGCCTGAACCGTGCTGAGCTTCGCGGCCTTCGTCATGTCGGGGCCGAGGAAGCTGGACAGCACTTCTGTTGAGAAGGTGAAGCCGCATACCCTGGCAGCATACAGGGCAGCGGCGTTGAAGTTTGTGACCTACTTGGACGAGAACGGCTTTGTCCCCGACGGGCCCGAGCAGTGGGACGGCCTGCTGGTAGAATACAAGAACGACATGCAGATGACTAAGTGCAATTTCGAGTATGCCGTCGCTGCAGTGGAGTTCGTGTTCCCACGCCTGAGGAGTCCTGAGGAGGAAGCTAACGTGGTCCCATTCGGTGATAGACGCATGGCGAGTCGCGGCTGAGGTCAAGCACGCTCCGCCGCTTGGGCTCGCGCCAGCCAACCTTGCCGCAATCTACTTTGCATGTTGGGGTGTGCCGCGGCTGGGAGTAGGCCTGCTGCTGCAGGTGGACCGCGGCCTGCGACCATCGGAGATGTTGCAATTACGAGCAAAAGACATATCTCTACCATCGTCTAGAGGGGGGCCTGACCTGCAACCGAACTGGGTAATCAACTTGGGGGCCAAGGCAGGGACAAAGGCCAAGAGGATGCAGTTTGCCATCATACTGGAGCGAGCTGGGGTGTTGGAGGACCTCCTTCATCGAGTGGTCCTAGGGACTCCGCCAGAGGGCCTTCTCTTCCCTTACTCGCTCGTCGACTACAGGCATCGGCCCAGGCAATGTGAAGCAGCTCTGGGCCTCGACATCCACTGGACGCCCCACTCGGCGCGGGCGGGCTTTGCAAGCGATTCCGTGGCTCGTGGTATCCCCTTCCAGGACATCAAGGAGGCAGGACGGTGGCTCACCGAGTCCAGCCTCCGCATCTACGTGGACGTTGCCACCGCCTCTCGAGTGCTGGCACAGGCTGAGCAGCGAGGGATCGCATCGCTCGCTCGAGAGGCGGCCGAGAAGCTGCCCAGCTGCTTCCCGAAGGGCACCTTCGGCGAGGACGCGTGCGGCAAGCGTGCCGCCGACGGGCTGGCGCAGGGGGGAGGACGGGTCCTGGGTGCTCCCAGTGCCTGGGCGCCCGCCAGCCCCACTGGCGGGGGGCCGCCGAGCGGCCTCCCCTGCGCCAGCGGCGCGCCCGCCGCCAGCGCCGCCACCAGCGCCGGACCTGTCAGGAGGGGAAAAAACACACAGACACAATTAATTCTCGATCCCCCAGAAAATATGAGAAAATATGGGCAGGGGGGGGGAAGACAAACACCCAGAAAATATGGGAAAATATGGGGAATATTTTTATTTGTGTGTATTTATTTGTGTGTCTTGGGGCACCTTCAACCTGGGCGAGCTGGTGGACGGGATCCCGGCGGGCCCGCCGCAGCAGGGAGATGCAGCAGCGGGGGCGGGCGCGGCCGAGGCCGAGGCGCCAGCGCCAGCGAACCTCGGCGCGCTGCAGCCGCTGGCCGCGCGCCCGCAGGGAGCGGCCGCGGCGACAGGGCAGCGACGCGCCAGGGCCGGCGGCTGGGCGCTGCTGCGCGCGGCCTGGAGCATGGCGAGGTGGTGCGGACGCTCGTCCACGCGAGGCGTGACGTGGGCGGCTGTCGCCGTCTGGCTGATCGCGTGGCTGCACGTGTCCGGGCCGATGGCCCACTTCGGGACCATGATGGGCGTGGCTGCGAGCGTGTCGGTCTCGGCGGGCAAGGTAGTCGACCACAGCCTCGGAGCCGTGATCACGGCTGCTCAAGGCGTGTCCGACTTCGCCGTGACCTCGACGCGCCACTCGGCGAACACCATGCAGGAGGCGTGGAGAGGCGTGGACCTCACCGACCTTCGTGTGCACCAGCGCCACGCCGAGCGTATCGCCGACGACCCCACGCTACTGCAGGAATGGTGCTACGAGAGTTTCTGTCAGTGGAGCCACGGCCGCCTGGGGCAGACCAGGTAGCCAGCACGCTCGCTGAAGCGTCCGTGACACTGCCACACGCAAGAGAGAGTTGGCAAATGTTGGTGTGGCCAGGCCAGTACAGAGAGTTCCACATGACCTACGATCTACTGTCCACCAGATTCTACGGCGTTCACGTGGTCGACCGCATCGTGAATTTCAGCGTGCAGTGGTCGAACCCGCTGTGGAGCGGCCTCGAGTGCGACCTCGGCGCAGAGAGAGACACCGTCCTCCTCCACATCAACTCGACCCTCTCCAGGCTCCCCCTCCCCGCGATCCG